TAATAATAATAATAATAATGATAATAATAATAATAATAATATTGTTTAATAATGATAATAATAATGATAATAATGATAATGATAATAATAGTAATAATAATAATAATAATAATAATAATATTATTATTATTATTATTATTATTATTATTATTATCATTATTACTGTAACAATCAACAGTATTCGTCCTGTTATGATTACTTCTTAATTGCTGCTAAAATAATTTTTGAAAGCAATATGTTTTCTTTAAGAATAACTTTATTAGTCAATGACGAGTGAGTAAATGAATAATCACCTCCATGAACACAAAAATCGCAGTTGTATTTATCGAGCGTTGCAACTGAAGTCACATACGGAGCTCCTTCGACAACCTCAACAAAAGCTTGTCAACGGTAATAATCGCATCAACAATAACAAATACCCAACAAAACTACCTCATCCACCCACTTAATCCCTCTGACCATTCGATATCGTTCCTTTTCGTTAAACACTGGTGGACCTTTATGCAACGTGATTTCTTCATCCGTATGCACACCAACAACCAAATAATTACCAAACTGTTTCGCTTGTCTCAGTTGATTTGCATGACCGAAATGTACCATATCGTAGCTGAAAAATTAACGGTATTAATCGCGATGATAATAAAAGATATTAATTTTAAGAAATAATGATACTGATAATAATAACAATAATAATAATATTTTAAATAATAATAATAACAACAGTAATAATAACAACAATAATCAAAATATTAGCAATAACAACGATAACTATGAAAGCATTACGGCTATAATTGTCAAGTTACTCTATTACGTAGATCAAAATTCGTAGTATATTATTGTAAGGAAGATAATCACAGAACTTATTTCAAAATCGACTTATTGATGAACACTTATTCGAAAATCAAAAAATCTTAATTGAAAATCATCTCAAAATTATTTTGTTCGCATCACTATTGTTGTTATATTCAGAATTTGTGTGAATCATATTAATCAATTTCAAAATATCAGTGATATGATAAGAAGAGGAATAATCATCGAAATTGCACGTTTCAATTCATTTCTTGAACGTTTTTGTTGATTTATAAAAACTATCCGAAAATGTGACAATTTATGTGCTTTGGGGAACGTATGAACACGAAAATAAACAAATAAAGGAATTATTATTTTTTCATAAGTAACCAACCACCCATCACACCATACTTTAACGTGCTTGTTATTACTGGATGGTTTCTTGGCACCATTGATTAAATCATTTTTGACTGGATCACGCATTTGTACTTCTTTTGTACTTACTTTTTAAAAACCTCTTTAGTACTAGTAATGCTATCCAAAGCGATGCTGTTGCTATTCCTTAGCAGGCCTGAAATTCACTGAAAATAATCAATTGTACATGATCAATTGGTAATATCTCATCGAGAAGCGCAATAGTACAAATCCGTATAAGAATATCCAATGAAGACGTATAAAAAATTATACAAACATAAGTAAGAATTTAGAGCACATAGTTGATTATGTGTAATTATGTTATATGATTAAACCATTTTCAAATAACTAATAAAACAATTGCAAAAGTTTACGACCAATTCAGCAACCTTTTTCGCCCTTATTTTAGCTTCATACTAAAGAGATTTTATTCAGCAAATTTGCAAGAAGACAAATCTGCAGGAAACACGACCAGACATATATCGGTATAGGTTGGCTGATCATTTCAAAATTCCGATTTGAATTTGCCTGTACAGCTTCCCTTGTACGAGCACAACAGCATCGAAGACGGCAAGGAGTGATTATTCCAAAAAGTTTTTTAAATCCCTGAGAGGATTGACCGAAAAGGCTCTAAACTGGTTTCAACTTGTGATAATTTCACTATTGTGCATGGATTGAATGCTACTTCCCCGTTGTTCTTTTCGGCAGTCAACACTGAAACAACCACGATTAATTTGGCTTATTTCTCATTGACCTGTTGACCAATGAATACTGATGCGAACGAGAAACAAGGTTTTGACTTGCTCACATGAAACTAGCATAAATAAACGACGACTAGATGGGTCAATAGGACAAATTGGATAGGACATAATAATGTTGTCTGAAAGGATATTCCGTCAAAAGATTCCATCTAAAAACTACTCAAAAAAAAGACGTGACGAAAGGAAAGCGAATATAAAATCGTATCAAATGGCTGCTAGCGGCTGGCTTCAGAAATTAGATTGCAATCAAATGTCACATCAACAGTCTAATGGAAGGAGTGAAGTGATCGAACGTAAATTTCGTGGCGCATCACAGATGAACGAACTCCAGAAACACCTGAATTCCAGTTTTTTCCTTTTCTTTCATTGGAACTAAGACGAACAATATCGAGAAACAAGAATCTTCAATAATAGATTAATTTGATTTAAGAGAGTAAATTCCATTATTATGTGCGTTGCCTAGCATTACATGACTACGTTAAATACAACTGATAAGGCATTCAGCATGTGCAATAGTAACCGTTAACAGCACTGGTTCAATAAACACTTCACGTGATAAAATCATGAATCGAACTGATATTTTACTCTTTATCAGTGAAGTGTTTGTTGCGATTCGCATATCACACAGCTTGTCGTCCCCTTCCTTACTCTCTGCGAATTTATCACTAACGTATAACAATGAAGAATTGGAAAAAACTTACAAGTGCTCTAAAATGGTATAGAATAAAGATAATAATAACAGTAATGATAATACTAACGTCTTGAACAAGACGCAATCACGAAACAAATTCAGCTGGTCATGCGCTGAATCACTCTGGGAATAATCGTTGGAGAACGGGTGCTCGTCCACGAAATTCCACCCAAATGCTACAACAAGTGAAGCCGAAGATGCACGATTATTCAAGTGAATAAAAAAGAAGAATCAATCACTCAAAATGAGAATACTCAAAAGTAATACGGACAAAAATTATGCGAAACTATGTTGAACGTTCACAAAGAGAAATGATCAATCCAGACGAATCATGTGCATCCAATTAGTATAATTTGCTGCATACAAACTTATTTTTTGGCCATGTTGGATGATTGATTGGCTTACGCAATTCCATTTTTCATTAAGATTATTCATAGTGAAGATCATCAACATTTAGACAATAACAATCATGTTTTGATCCATATTCAAACGACATCACAATAGTCATAATAATAATGATAATAATAATAATTATAATAATATTGAATATAGATGTGACGTGACATGTAGGAGAGCAAAACCGATATTCAAAAAAGGATAATTCATGAAATTGCAAATTTTGTATCAAAAAACGAAATTTGATTAGCTGCTCTTATACGCGTACACAATGATTATTCATTTGAATAACTGAAAGCTGGTAGGCTGGTGAAGGTGAATTTGATCAAAAGCGATTCAAATATTTGAACGAATTGTGATTATTCATCATCACTTCGTTTTATAATCTCTGTTTATTTAGCACTTTCAAATATTATTATTGATTCAATGAAACTGAATCAAATAATCAACATCATTTTTGATACAAAATTTGCAATTTCATGAATGAATAATCTCACTTTTGTTAGACAAAATAAGATTGTCAACAAATTTATGTTGACAATCTTATTTTGTCTAACAAATAAGCGATCAGGTGATTGAACGATGATGCGTGATTGATTGACATAGAAATCACATTTGGTGGTGTAATGACGTGACTCAGTTCTAGATGACATACTTTTGGTAAATTACCTTATGAATTAGACATAATCCTTTGACAACATATATAATCTTGTGATAGCGAGGAATTTGGTGAATGTGGTGGTATGTAGAAACCATCGCGGCATTCAGCAAACCTGAGCACAAAGATTGTTGAAAAGTGATTAGAACACAGAAATATTACGAAAATTCTTGCGAGTTCTTGTTGTACTGTTGACTCTTGAATGACGTTCATGACCAAAGTATGCTTTCAAGAATATAATTTTATCACTGAATCTAAAAACATTTGTAAACTTTTTTTGAATCTCAGAACTGTTGTTCCGTTGTTCTTGTTGTTGTTGTTGTCTTCTGATACTCATTCTAATTTTTTACGATTCATCATTTCTTCCATCATTGCAATTTTTCAGTTTAGTTCAGCGTTGTTATGAAAACTCATGGACAGAGCGATAAATGACATAGCGAGCGATTTGATTGCTTCAACAAATGAACTGATATGAGAAATGTGTACCTAAGGCTGATTGTGAGTAGAAAACTGAACCTAATCCCAATAAGTCGCATGAATTCTCTGATTTCATTTCATATTCTTAGACAAATCAACCCATCAAAGATTTTTATCGCATAGAATGTCAAATTTTATTGAACGTAAAACTGTGACAATCAGATGAGCGATTTCCCTTCGTCGCACTGTTCCGCAATATCATTTGCAAACTGACACAGTACGAATTTGCAGACAGTTTTTCAAGATGAAAAAAGTTTCTCACATTTTTTTATGACAGCCAAATTGGAATTTTCTTCTGGAGGTGAGGTTAGGTTGATGAGTGACGGTGATATCAATCGCTCGAACGGTGATCTCGTAGTGAATGTGAAAAGGAACATACAAACCTTAGGCTGAGACTAACCCCTACCCTTCGATGAGGCCTCCTGCGTGACACAGCTTGAGACCTATGTTGAGACTGAGGTTCACCTCGGATTTACAGTCAAACCTGAACCGCAAAACTGAGGCTCATCCAAGGTTCATGTTGAGGCTTGCAGCACCACCCTTTTCATAAACACGTTCACCACAAATTACTGGTTCGAACGCAATCAATGAGAGCATTTGTCTATATTTATTTAATTTCAGGTGTTGTGCTGCTCGTTCGTTTGCTTTGGTTCTGTATTTTAATTGCATTCACAAATCGTGCAATGAGTAATTGCTTATCGACAAGTGTGAAGAAACTGTCAACAACACAGCTAATGGTAGAGTTCAATTTTTTGAAAAAAAAATCATTTGAATGATTTATTTATTCGAATTACTCGACAGTTTGCAAGGAATAGAGCAGAATGAAATGATGAAAGTAGATGAGGTGGGAGATGCATTCACATGAGTTGTTGTAATGAGGCACTGGAAAAGCAGAGCTAAAATTTGATTTGTTTGCAAGATGTTGTTGGTGATGGGTACTTGAAACCCGCATACGATACCAACTAAATGGTCGATCGGAGAAGCTCGCTTCGGGATAAATGCATCAACGAACGAGCATTTGCAAACTGCATGATATATGATCATTTATGTACTCATGCAAGATTGTTTGTTGCGCTTCGTTCGAATTTACGTTATCTACTTAGATAATGCTTTGTCAATGAATCGTTGTTGCATGCTAAATACTGAGTTCACACACCGCCTAAATTTTGAGAAATTGAGTAGTCGTTTGCACACCGGGAATGATGACGAAGTGCATGCCCCCTAACTTCAGGCAAACTCTCGAATTGCACATGTGCATGCCAGTCTCAAGCAAACAAAAACCTCGCGTGGCGCCCAAAACGCCTCACTAGTCAACCTCCTTAGTGCATACGTAGCATAAGTGGTCGTCTTGCAAACAAACGATAAATTCCTAGAAGTCGTTAGATATGCATTTTGAAATGTTTATTTTGAAAATGATACAACAAAAGTTTGCGCGCTTTTCTTTTTACACGTCAGCATAACACAACTCTACAACTGTCGATGGACCTATTTGGATAGCGTAATATATACGAAATGAAGTAAGTGGACATTCAGTTTTTGAGTTAGTTCATTTTGATTGTTTTCACTGACATCTCATTTCTTATTAGGGAAATCATAATTATGTATTTGTCTTTGAAAAAAAAAAAGATTATTTGCTGACAATTATTTTGAATTTCGGAGTAGTGTGAAACAGGGTTGGGTCACGAAAAAAATCAGATTCGAGACCTCCGAGCGTAAGGGATGAGGCCGGGAGCCTGTCGAGAACCTTGTTGATGTTCAAGACCAGCCGAGAGGAGGGACTAGGTTCGAAACCCCGGAAACCTCATAGATGCTCGAGGCATCCGAAGGTACAACCTCTCAACGTTACCTTCTGTTTATTTGACTAATTTTTCATTGTTTCAGATATGATTCTTGCAATTTCTTTGTGGTAGGATCTGGCCAAAGGCAAAATCTGTGCAGATGCTGCCAACTTCTGAGGCGCCTGACGGTAAAGAGCAGAATGGAGGAGGATCAAGGGTCCCAAGACCGTTGTGAATGCTCGGGAGTCGCCGACTCAACCCTAGTATGAGGTAGGTGGAGGGAGTTTCTGGACCGGAAATCAAAAACT